GCAGAGTGGCTTTTTGGGCTTGAGAAGTAGATGCTGCGCTGGGGGCTCAGGGTTGCAGGTGGCCGCAAGCAGGGCTCCAGAGGGGAAAGCGTCTGGGCTCTGTCTGGTGGACTCGGATGCTGTTCTGCCTCCAACAGCCGCTGCTTCTTTTGCCCCATTCTGCGGGAAAGCTGTAATGCGAACAGACAAAATAAATCTGAATAGGTTTTGTGGTGAAGTCAGAGCTGAGGGACCGTATTCGACTGCCGGCCTCACCTGTCAAACGGAGGCATCCCCTTGGGGGGTTGTAACAAGGGTGCCAACGGAAATGCGATACCTGATGCACTCGGCCCCGTGCTGGGCCCCAGGAGGCTCGGGGAGGGCCTGTGCGGGGGGACAGGCTGTTGGTAGCAGCAAGAGAGTAGCCACTCTGATCCACACACCGTCCACACGCAGAAGATGCACAGGCTGATGATGGTAAAGGGCTGAGGGGACAGTGGGGGCCCCCAGCCTAGGGCAGGAGGGCTGGTATCCTGATTCCCACTCATGACGTGGACCCCAAACAAACTTCTCATCTTGTTTCTGGAGCCCAGCCCTTTGCACTGACCCTAACCGGGAGTTGATTTTTTTTTTTTTTTAAAGATTTTATTTATTTATTTGACAGAGAGAGAGACAGCGAGAGCAGGAACACAAGCAGGGGGAATGGGAGAGGGAGAAGCAGGTCTCCTGCTGAGCAGGGACCCTGATGTGGGACTCGATCCCAGGACCCTAGGATCATGACCTGAGCCGAAGGCAGACGCTTAACGACTGAGCCACCCAGGCACCCGGGAGTTGATTTTTTATATTTAAGTAATCTCTACACTCGGACATGGGGCTCAAACTCATGACCCCAAGATCGAGTTGCATGCTCTTCCGACCGAGCCAGCCAGGTGCCCCCCCTAACCAGGAATTTAAAAGCACAGCCATGGGCGCCTGGGTGGCTCAGTTGGTTAAAGCGACTGCCTTCGGCTCAGGTCATGATCCTGGAGTCCCGGGATCTAGTCCCGCATCGGGCTCCCTGCTCAGCAGGGGGTCTGCTTCTCCCTCTGACCTTCTTCCCTCTCATGCTCTCTACCATTCTCTCTCTCAATAAATAAATAAAAATCTTTATAAAAAATAAAAGCACAGCCATGACCCTGATGGGGTTTGGCCAAGGAACGTTTGTGGTTTGTGGGTCATTGCGTCCTCCACACTCCCTCCCACCCGGCTGATGTGTTGGTAGGGCTCCCCTCCTCAGAATGGCCAGGAAGGCCTGACACACACAGGTCGGGGAGCACCAGGCTGTCTTCTTTGCTCCAACCCAAGTACTCAGGGCATGACCCCTGGTGAGTCCCCAACTGTCCTCTCATGACCCAGGATGTCATAATGATAAGGAGCAAGTGGGGCAAAGGTGAGTTCTCCCAAGGGACAAGACCTAACCTCCCACCTGCTGCCACGCAGCCCGAGAAACCTGACCACACACACTCAGCTGTTCTGGGACCAGCTGCTACAAGAAGTGGGAGAAGATGAAGAGCAGGTGAGCACTGGGGCCTGGAAACACCCTCTGCAAGGGCTGGTTTTCAGTAGTACCCACATCTCCTTGGCATGTGACAGACCCATTATTTTTAACATAAGTGCTGACGTTCCAGATCGAAAGGAGACTGCCAGTCTACTGAGAGTGGACGCTGACGTGACCGTCTCTGCAGCCCAGCCCATCTGCCAGTACCCGCCATGGGCTCAGACGCTGGGACGCTGCCATCTGGAGTTTGGCCCCCTGCCTGCCTCATGGCACTCGGGTCATGCTGGGTCAGCCCTGGCCCACCCTGGGTGGTGAGGGACTCACAAAACTGCGCAGGCACTGAGGCTCAGAGAGGCCTCAGTTTCCCTATTACAGACCTAGAATCTGAACCTCACAGGCCTTTGTGGCGGTCTGGCCGCACGACTAAGTAGCAGGGTGACCCTGCTATCACACTCAAGAGTGAGCACTGCGTCAGACTGTGTACCTGGGCACCTCACATGCATCCCTGGCCCTGGTTAGAAATGAGGGTTCCCTAAAGAAAGGGCCCCAGAAAATGACCTCAAGTGTCTGTGCCTCTCTGTTCCCTCATCTGTAGAAAGGGGGCGAGTATCTGTGGCACAAGGTGGTTAGGAGGATAAAATGAGAGAAGTCCCGCCGGCGCGTGGCTGGCATACAGCAAGCACTCCGTGAACGTTAGCAAGAAACACCCTCCTCCCAGGATGTGTCCAGGCAAAACCTGGGGACTAGGCTCTCTGGCAGAGAGGCCAGGCTCTCCAGCCGGTGGAGGGCAGGAAAGAGCCTGGCCTACATGTGGGTGTCCAATGGACCCATCAGCCCTCCATCAAAACCCGGGAAAACAAGGGTTAGTAACTACAGAGAGAACACTGATCCGGCTGTGACTGGCGCTTAAGTGAGGAGCGTGAGAAAGTGGCCCCTTGGGCCAACCCAGGTCACTTCTGTCGCAGCCTGGCCCCCGGGGAGGACATGTCCAAGCTGGGCCTCAGTGCAGCGCATTCAACCAGGAAACCGGGGTCTGGGGCTTCTCCCAGACGTCGCCGGCAACCTCGGGTTGGGCCTCGACTTTTCTAATAGCAAAGGGAGCAGCCGAGCCGGGGCCGCCACGCCGGTGGGCGCCCGTCTGCGGACTGCAGCCCCCGTCAGGGGCCGGCGCGCACGTTACTGGTTTTCCCCGGGTGCTCGCTCAGCGCTGGTGCCACTGCGGGGGAGGTTGCCGCCCCGGAGCCCGTTCGCTCCTCGGCCGCAGCGCGGGGCGGCCGTGCGCGCAGCCACAAGCACGCGCACCCGGGCGCGCACTCACCTGGGCCGCGCCGCGCGCGGGCATCCCGCGGCTCGGGCCGGGCTCGGGGCGCGGGGACCCGCAGCACCGGGAGCCCCCCGCCCGTCCAGAAGCGACCCCGGAAGTGCCGCCGGCGCCTGCGCGGAGGAGGACGGAAGCTCGGGGAGCGGCGGCGACCGCGCGGCACCGACCCGCCCCCGGAGGAGGGGCCGGACGGTGGGGTGGGGGGCTCCTCCCATCCTGGACAAAGGCCCGGGGGCTGCCGGGACACTTGTGGCGTGAAGCGGGGGGGGGGGGGGCGGGGGGCGGCTGGGTTGGGGGCGAGAGCCCCCGCAGCTGGTGCTCCTCCCAGTGATCTGCGTCCCGCCCCCACGTGCACGGTGGTCCCTGCACGGCCGCCAGCCAGTGGTCGGACCCCCCAAGAGAACTGGTCCGTCACGAGTCTTGCTTAGGTCCTCGAGGGGCCCCGGTTGGGGGTTGGGGGGGTGGCCCGCAGACGGTTCGGTGGGATGACAATGGAGTGAGCGTGGGGGAGGTGGCGGCGGAGCCCCGGTCCTCGGGACACGCCTTCCTGGACTGCGGAGGGGTTTTACTTGCTCCCGACCTCCGGGAGGCACTTGGGGGGAGAGGACATGGGGAGTGGGCCAGGAAGACTGTCCAGGAAGCGGATGCCAGGCCTATCCGGAAGCCCCTGCCCTCTGCCCGGGTCATCATCACGGGCGGGTGCGGGGATTCTGTCCGCCGTGGAGCCCCCACCTTCTGCCGCCCAGAGATGCCCAGAGGAGCCCGCCCACGTCCTCGGCGGGCTTGCTGGACCGTGGCCAGCCTCCTCAAAAGAGGCTTGAGGCCGGGGCTAGGGCTGTGGGGACCCATGAACGCCCGGCTTGCAGTTCGTAGGGGAGCGGCTGGGGGCGGTATGGGGACCGTCCCGCCCTCCCACCTCTGATGCTGCCCACCCTGCCTGTAATCTCTTAAATCGGATTGGAGTCCCCAAGGGCGGGGGGGGGGGGGGGAGGGGGGTTGGGGGGGGGCGGTGCCTGGTCCAGGGGAAGGAAGGGCCATGGGTGGGGGGGGAGGTGTTCAAGCACAGGGCTGTTGTCTGGGGACAATTGTGGGGCTGGGATGGGGGGTGGGAGGGGCGCACCGCTGGCCCCTGTGGACCAGGAGGGTGAATGGGGGACCTAACACCCAGCAGAGTCACCCCCCTCTCCCCGACATACACTCTGTAGCTCTAGGGTCCCCTGCAGTGCCCTGCTGCTGTGGCAGGCACAGTCCCACCCTCTTGTATCACCCCCCCCTACCCTGGGAAAACCCTTGAAGAGCAGGGCCTGCACTTTGATTTCTGTGACCCTGGCCTTGGGAGGGGGTACCTGTGGGGCCTCGGAGAGCAACTGGGCATAGGATGATGTCAGGTAGGAAGTGCCGGATGGGCCATGTGGATGGGGCGGCGGATGAGCAGAGCAGGTCTGGCTGGGAGCATTCTGGGCTCCCACTGTGTTCCTCCTCTGACCAGCTCCGGGGCTGAACTCCAGGCTGGGCCCAGGCCCAGGCCCAGTAGCGCTGCTGGCCCCCTCCCCTCAGGGCTCCCACCAGGACTTCCCGGGGAGGAAGGGCCCCTGCTGGAAGCCACCCAGCTGTTTGTGGTACTCTGTGTCGCTTCCGGAGGTGGGCAATGTGTCATAAATCCATGCTCGGAAGGCAGGCCTAGCTCTGACTCCCACCCCTGTCTTTCGTTCTTACCCCCTGCAGCCGTTCGGCCCAAACAATGACGCCTGCTTCCTGCCTTCCTTTGTGCCCAGTCCCCCTTCTCTCCTCCCTTTCCCCTCTTCCTCTCTCTGGGAGGGAAACTGAGGCCCCCACTGGGCCCTGTCCTCCTGGTGAGGGCTGGGGCAGGGTGGGCGCCGTTTGTGTTAATTTTTATTCTGATTTCACAAATGGTGCGTGGTCCTTGTAGAAATCATGGGGCGACTACTCTCCCGAAGGGGTGTTTTACCCCCACCTTGAGAATGAGGAAAGAGAGGCTCAGAGCACAGCCCTGGCCCCCAGGAGGAGGCAGAGCTGGCGCCAGCAACGTCCTTTCTCCAGATGTTCCCGCCTGAGTGCAGGGGCTTGCGAAACCTCTCCAGGGTGGGCCCTCCTCTGCCCCGCCCCCACTTCCTGGTTCGCGTCTGAGGTTCCACCGCAGGCTGGAAGTGGTGGGCTGAGCGTTCCCACTGTGGCCTGCTGGGCAGGCTGGCTGGGGGTGAGAGGAGGTGGTCCTGGCAGGAGGAGGGGCCTAGGGCCTTCTCTGTCCCCAGTGTGCCCTGCTGCTGGGCCGAGAGAGGTGTGTTGGAGGATGTCCGTGCCAGATGGAGGTGAGGACACCCTTCATGCTTTGAAAGGGATCTGTGCCGGGGTGGGCTGCCAGTGACTGAAGCCTTGAGAGAAAGCATAGCACAGAGTCCCCAGTTCCAGCACCAGCACTGACCCAGGGCACCCAGCGCACTGGCTCGGCGTCCTTTAATGTAGGGATGCTGATACCGTGGAAGGGAGAGAGTCGGGTCAGAGCCTAGTGGGCTCCATGTCAGACGGCGGAGGGCCCTCCGGCAGCTTCTCAGGGGTTCCCGTATCCCACCTGGCCTCCAAGGCTCTCTGCATCTGACGGGCTCTGTGGGGGTCAGAGCCTCCTTGGGCAGAGAGGGTGGCCGAAGGAGGTGTGTGGGGGCTGCCTCCTCCCTTTCTGGGGCTGTGCTGTCGTGCTGCTGAGCCTTGGGCCCAGGTGCTTATGGGACCCCTCGCCACGCACTGAGACACGGGGAGGGGCCGCTGCCTCGGGAATAGTCAGTGACTTCAGGCCCCTGGCTGGCCTGGCCCACTTTCATCTCTTCCCCAAAGAGCCAGGGGCTGGAGCTGAGCCCACCCAGGCTCCCCAAAGCCCAGGAACTGGCCTGCTGAGCTGAGGACTCCAGGGTAGCTGATGGCAACCCCTCCTATTGGTTGGGCTCTTACCCCCTCAGGTCCTAGGGTGAAGTCCACAGCCACGGGGGTGGTCCGGATATCCACCCACCCCCAGTCACCTGTCCACATGATAGGCAGTTGCAGTTGATTTCCATTTCTCTAGGGCTGGGGGGAGGAAGAGGGAGGAGAGGGACTGGGAGCTGGCTTTCCATGTAGGGGCTGCACCAGAGCATAGAGGACAGTGGGGCCGACATGAGGCAGAGCATACATACATGAATACATGTGTCCATGTGGATTAGGTCCAGGCCTCTGCTTGCACCATCCTTTGATTCCAAGGTCCTTGTTCAGGATGCCGGGGTGGGTTGAGAATCTGGGGAATTCCTGGATTTGCCTGCCAGGATATACTGGGGTATGCCTCGGGAGCAGCACCTGTGAGGGGCAAGGGTTTGTAACAGAGGCTGCTGGGAATCCCACTTAAGCTCAGGAACCGAGAGGACCCTTCGGAGGAGGTGACTTGAATGAACACGGGGAGGCCATTTACCTGTCACTGAACGCATAGACTCTGCAAGAGGGGACCTGCCAACACTGGATGCCCAGCCATGGCATGCTTTGGAGGCGAGCCCAGGCCCCAGACTCCAGAGATGACCCCACCGTTGGCCCTGCCAGGCTCGCTGGGCATCCAGGTGGGCGGGGCCTGCTGATCCCTCGTAGGGGGTGAGCATGCCCGAGAATGCCTGGCATGGAGAGACTGTCCTGTCTGGCCGAGAGCCTGGCATGGGAGGAGTGGCACGTGTAGGCTGCAGGGGCCATGAGCATCAGCACTGGGCAGCCGCGCTCTCGTCTTGCGTCCCCAGTCCTCCTGTAGTCACCCTCCCCACCCTCCAGTGAAGGAGTCCTCCTATAACTCCTCCAAAGCTACCGGAGAATTGTGTTGATATGCCTGTGTTCATAGAGGAGGCACCGCTTTGTCCCCTGGTATGGGTGAGGATATGATCAAGGATTCTGTCCCTTGCCCAGGCTCCAGGGCCAGCCCGTAAGCTGGCTGCCACCTTACGCCATCAACGTTATTTTCTGTGTAGTCAAGAACGGGGTCTTGTCTGCAGTCAGGCCCGCCATGACTTGCTGACGGTGCAGCGACTCTGTTCAGAGAGGGCCAGTGCCACCTGGTCCCAGAACAGCAAAGGGCGTCTTCGTAGGCACTGCAAGGCTGGAGGTGCAGGGCCACAGGTGCCCCAAGGTGTTCTGGCAACTAGTGAAAAGGTCCTCAGGAGACCTGTGGTCCCAGTTCTGTTTTCTCCGGGGCCGTACGGGAGACCATCGTGAGGCAGCCTGGGTACCCTGCCTGTACCCTGCTGTTGGCACTCCCCTCCCCCCTTCCCTGGTCGTCCTCTGGGTGGTTCAGCCCCACCTAGTCCTACAAAGTCAAGAGAGAGGGTTGCTGGGAAATTCCCACCCGCACCTCAGCCTCAAGCAGATGGGTCGTTCCGTGTCCGACTCAGAGGGTGCAGGGATGAGCGCCCCGGGAGCAGTGGGCAAGCTCTGGAAGAGCGAAGCGTGCGGAGTGGAAACCAGCAGTGCCATCTCTGCCCTGATGGGTTGGGGTTGGGGTTGGGGGGCTGCAGGCCCAGCCTGGCCTGGGAGTGACTGCCGGGAGCACAGGGGTCTGGGGAGGGGCTCAGGGCTCTGAACCTGCCTTTGCTGTGAGTGCGTGTGTGCAGCCCTGGGTAAACACATGAGTGGGAGTGTATAGTTGCGGTTGTGTGCATGTGTATAACTGGATGGAAGGGGGTGTGAAGGTGTGCGTTTGACTCTGTAAACAGGTGTGTGTGGATACATGGTTAGAGCACGTGGGTGTGTGCCTGCACGAATGCATGAGCACGTGTTGTATGAGTGTGAGTGTGAGTGCTCCCATGGGACCGGGTGCGTGTAGGGTGAGTGATTTAGTGTGGGCCTTCGGAGGAGGTCGGTGGTTCGGTTTACAGGAGATCCAGGGACACTGTCCCACGCCTGCCCCTTCCCCCCTTTCTCAAGCACAAGTCAAGGCAGCGTAAGTTTAGGCCTCACCCTAGAGGCCGGGAGAGGCTGAGGAGCTCAGGACATCCGTTGACGCGGAGGCTCTGTCCCGTTGGGCCACTAGGTCCTCCCTCCCCGGCCAAGGCGCCCAAGACCCCCAGCCGCAGCTATCCCCGCGGTCGGACACACGGGAGAGCGGAGCCCAGCGGCCTTCCCGGAGGAGGTGACTGGGGCCGGGCGGGCCGCGCGCATTCCTGAGCCCTGAGTCAGCGCGGCCGCCCCCTCCGGCCGGGCCCGCCCCCGGCGCGCACGCCCCTCGCTCCATGGCATTCCCGGGCGGGCGGGCCGGACGGGCGCGCGGGCGGGGACTCGGCGCGGGCGCCCTCCCGGCCGGCGGCGGCAGCCCCTCCCCGGAGCCCTCAGGACCCCCGAGGACCCCCCCGGTGCCGGCGGCGGCGGCGGTGAGTGAGCGCGCCGGGACCGGGGCGCAGGGCTCCGCGGGCCGGGCGGGTTCTGGGGCTGCGTCCGCTGCGCGCGGGGCCCGTGCTCAGCCCGCCACGGCCAGAGGCGTTGGCAGCGGCTGGGGTCGGGCCGGGCGCGGGGTCCAGGCCTGGGGCCGGGGCCGGGCGAGTCTCCGCCCGGGGCGTCCGGACTTTCCTTCCCGGAGTTTCCCGAGCCACCCGCGGAGGCGGCCCAGCCCGGGATTCCTAACCCGGCGCGCCGCAAAAATAGCCCAGGGTCGGATTAGCACGTCCCGGCGGCCTGACCGGGCCGGACAGCTCGGCTCCAGCCCCCGCCCAACAGCTGAGGGTCCTGGGAGCGGGCGGGCTCGGAGTCTGGGGGTGTCCCCAGGCTCCTCCGAGCTGTGCCCTCCCCCCCTTGACGTTTTCCGTCCCGGCCGCCGCCGGTGGGTGGTGCTCCAAGTCGAAACTGCAGCTCCGAGGGTGGGACTCCTCGGGACCGTCCCTGTCCCAGCCGTCCTCACAGGGGATGGGAACACGATCACCAGTAATAGCAGTAGTTGTGGGGGCTAGGGGCGGGGTACTTCACAACCCCTGTCTCCCCACTCTGTAAGTCCTGGAACTGCGGGGACCGGGGAGCTACTCCCTAAGACCGCCCCCCCGCGTTGTGTTCAGTGGCCTAGAGGAGCGGAGGTGGGGGGCGTGGGGGCGTGCCTAGAGGCAGGCCTTCTATTGGCAGGGAAGATGGCTGGACCCCAGGTGCTCGGGGTACGGGGGAGGGCCTAGCTGTCTGTCCTGCTGGGGGCTTGTCTGTGGCTGAATGGGGAATGGGCAGGGGATCTCGCAGCCATGCCTGCCCAAGGCCCAGCTGGTTCCTGACCCGAGTTCGTTCCGTGCAGCTTGGGTTGTGTGTCTCTGTGTCTGTCTGGGTGGGCGGGGCCGGGATCCCGAGGCCCTGGCCTTGTGCTGGGAACCCCCCCCCCCCACCTTGGGACTTCCTGACTGAGAAGATTCAAGGATGAAACTGGCTTTTCAGGTTTGGCCCAACTAGATGCTGGGTTCTCCCCACCCCCCTGAAGCCAGCCTCAGCCCCCTAGAGAGCCCCCAGAAATTAGGAGGAAGGTGGGGAACCCAACAGCTGGCTGGGGTCCAAGAGGTCCCTCAGCTGAGCCCCCTGCCACCAGGGACCATTCTGGGCAAGCTGGGTCCTTTTCCCTGAGAACGGCGCAGGGCTAGTAGGTGGGCACAGGAGTCAAGGGGCCCCAAATTCAAGATGCGGGGCCCCAGGCCCCATCCCGACCCTTCCAAGCAGCCAGCCAGCCTCCCATTGTGCAGACAGGCCGACTGAGGGCAGCCGAGCTGGAGAATTGTCATGACCAGAATCCCTCATGCAACATTAAGTGTCCTGCCAAGTTGTCCTTGGGAACTCATATTCTCGGGGGGCCCTTGGCTCAGAGGGGATCACCCAGGTCTTCCCTGCCTTTTAGGGCCCCCCGTCAGGGTCTTTTCAGCTCCCAACGACTGCTCAGGGCACACCCCGTTGCTCCTCTCCCTGGATGTGAGGTGCTCCCCTTCCAGCTTCGGTGTCCGTGACCAGATCCACTTTCTACCCAAGGATCATATTCCCTGGCTTCTGCCTGTTCTCTAGGTTGGGTGTGTTTGAGGGCGACCCCTCCTCCCTGAGCTGAGAGAGAGACTCTGGGTCAGGACAGGGTGGAGTTGGGGGCCCTGGGGGGCTGTGGCCAGGGCCAGCTAGGCAGGCACATGGGTCCCTTGGACCCCATCTCCTGGGCAGACATTGTCCAAGGCTTCGAACCCCCCCTTGGAGGCTCAGTGATCTCAGGTGGTGACTGGCTTCTCTGAGGCTCAGTTTTCTTATCTGGAAGATGGTACAGAGGACCCTCCCCAGGGCTTGGGATAGGTCAGCAGGGTTAGTTAGACCC